GCTGTTGCGTGGGTTGTTCTTGCCCCCTTTGTGTCGCACTCTGAGGGTCATTGTTCTTTACAGTGGAGGCTGTGGCTGCCCTCGGTAACAAAGTAGTGGAGACGCTTCGGACACAAGACCCTACTGAAGGTAAACAGACGTGTGGTGTTTGAATAGCTGCGTTTGTGGGCGAGTCCAGTTCATTCAAATTCGATTGATTTAGTAAATGTTTCTTTTTCAGGATAAAAACATTTGGCTTAGTCATTTGACTTGTTGGCTGTGACACTGACCAAAGCTTATAACCAAGTGCTTCTCAGCCTTGCAGCTGTAAAACGTGCCTGACACAGTGTTTGACTCCTCCTCTCAGTGCTGTCCATGTTGACCAATGAGACTGGCTTCGAGATCAGTTCAGCTGATGCTACAGTGAAGATCCTCATCACCACGGTCCCTCCTAACCTGCGCAAACTGGACCCCGAGCTGCACTGTGAGACTTTTTACCTGGTCTGGAGACACAAATGTGCACAGTGGGCCAGTCTTGGTACAAATGCAGCACGTGTAGCGCTGTGGTTGTTTAAAAAAAGGAATGTCTTTTGTTTCTTGTCTCCTCAGTGGACATCAAGGTGCTGCAGAGTGCCCTCGCTGCCATCCGTCACGCTCGCTGGTTTGAGGAGAACGCCTCTCAGTCAACGTGAGGAAAAGTCGTATTTTACCTGGTCTGCTTTCACAGTAACAATACAAATAAGCTCACTGGAGCTTGGTTTGTTTCACGTCTGATCTTTAGAGTCAAAGTATTGATCCGCCTGCTGAAAGACTTGAGGCTGCGTTTCCCTGGATTCGAACCCCTGACGCCCTGGATCCTCGATCTGCTGGTAAGTTCCATAAATGATGTCCTGAGTGAATAAATAATCCACGCCCACAACGCCGACGCCCTTATTTATTGGAAAGACGTTAAACATTGGTTTGTTCCATAAAGCAGTGAGTATTCCCTCTCTAGGGCCACTCTGCAGTGATGAACAACCCCTCCAGGCAGCCTCTGTCTCTGAACGTGGCCTACAGGTCAGTCGTCACTCTGCTCAGATTGCACTCTGTTTTGTAGTCGCTGTGGAAGAAATGTTTCTGTTGTTGTTCTTGAAGGCGCTGCCTGCAGATGCTGGCTGCTGGTCTCTTTCTGCCTGGCTCTGTGGGCATCACTGACCCCTGTGAAAGTGGAAACTTCAGAGTGCACACAGTCATGACTCTAGAACAGCAGGTAGATCTGCTCAGTGCTTTTTATTCCTGCAGGTCACGTTTCTTATTTGTGCCAAGCTTAATCCTGTCTGTGGAACTGGAAACATGTTTATGTCGCACTCAACATAATACAGAATATTCAGCTCTGAGCGAGGATGTGACTGCAGGTGTGTTTGTGCAGGACATGGTGTGCTTCACCGCTCAGACTCTGGTGAGGGTGCTGTCTCACGGAGGCTACAGGAAGATCCTCGGTCTGGAGGGAGATGCCAGCTGTAAGATAACATCATTGTTCTCTGTACCTTAACATGTAGTCTATAGTTTATGGGCTAAATGAACAAACACCTGATTTCTCAGTTTAAATTGACACGTTACAGCTGAGCTGTCTCTAGGACACACTGCAAATGCACACGTCGTGCGTCAGGACATGGAGTCACCTTCATCTAACAGCTGTGAACAGCTGTGTAAATGGACCGTATTCATATTTGATAAACATTCTAAATAACGTCAGTGTCCATATTTATAACTGCGTGTTTATGTAATATTATGGACAGAATGTGCTCATAATGGACGTCACTGTAAGTTTGGGCTTTTAAAGACCCTTTTTCTAGGCTGGACCGGTGCTGCACAGCATCCATCTTTAGTTACACAATTTATTTGGGATTTTCTGTTTGGATTATTCTGGAAAGCCCATAAAGGGTCAGAATTATACACACAGGCTCACAGATGTACACATGCCTCCACTAATATTTGGTTAAATGTCCCTCAGCAACATGGCAGCCGTCACCAAGCTGCGAGCATCATTCTGTCTGCAGTTGGTATAACTGGCAGGGCTGATTTAAACGTGTTGGTTCTGGTGATGTAGACGATACATCATGAAGCTTTATCACAGTTCATCTTATCAGAAAAAGACTGCATGTAATTGTCAGCTTGCCCCTTTTTAACCAGTCTGATAGCTGACTCTGTGGTAACAGGTTTTAGTGACTGTGTACTTTATACAAACTAGAATATCTTATTGGATTAAACAGATATTGACAAAGTTGGACTTTAAGCCAAATATTTTCAGTTGAAAAAGATGCTAAACTGTAATGTTCTCAAAATCTGAGCCTCGGTGGTTTCTGGATTATTTCCTGTCAGGCACAGTTTGACAAAGCGGTGACGCTGAGGCTGAATAAGCTCATCTTATATACAGTTGTTTGAATTGATCTTGGACTTTGCAGTTGCTCATAAATGGCTCTTGTCTGGAAGAACAACAACAATCTCCACGTCCATGATAAATGTATGTAATCTAACCATAACTGCATCTTTCCCACAAAGCCACTGCGATGACACGCGTGTTTGCTACAGAGCCTGACAGAATGTAACACAGACCAGCCCAGAAACACAATGAAACAGTGAATCTAATTTAAAACAAGTGCAGGTTTATTTTAATAAGTGTGCATTTCAGCATGAAAGGTGAAGGAGCCAGGCAAAGAGAGGTGCTCTGGGACAATCCCAGTTTAGAATGAGCACTTTTACCCTCGTGACTGGGTGCAGTCACTGTGTACACACTGACACGGGACTCAAAGAGTGTAGTTTGTTTTTCTTACACATCTACACTGTGCAAGGCTGCTCAGGTATTGGGAAGACTGGGCGCTGTGGACAACAGCGCGAGGACAAGGCAGTCTAGGACTTGAAATTTCCACCGTAGGAACAGCCGCTAAAACTCTTGCTATGTTTGAATTTCAGTGACCTCAACCGTAAGGTCAGGGTCAGAGGTCAAGTTTTCAGAAAATCACTCAGGATCTACTCGGGCTGAACAGCAGCATCTCATGCTGAGCTGTGATTGATCAATTGTACCTGCTGTAAAATAATATTGTGTTTCTGCAGACCTAGCAACAGAGATGTCGACATGGGACGGCGTGATCGTGACTCCCTCAGAGAAAGCCTACGAGAAACCTCCGGAGAGGAAGGAGGAGGAAGATGAAGCTTTGGAGGAAGGAGGGGACGGGGAGGATGAGAGCATGGAGACACAGGAGTGACGAAGAGGTTCGAGCATCACCAACATCCACCGCATTGCAGGATGAATGCTCAGTTGCATGTATCTTAAAGAGCTGAGTCTTCTCATCACATGGCTAAAATGTTCATCGCTGTGTTCGTTCTGACAAACACGACCTCGCTCTGTTTTCTTCCACAGTGAACGTGGGTAATTTATCGTCCCTTCAGCCTGACCACTCTGAAAGACCAGCAGCAGAGTTCGTACGACAGTCACTGGTCCCCTCGTGTCCCTGATTTCTTTTTCTTTTTTTATAAATGGTAATGTTGGTTTTGTTTGTACTTCCTTTTTGTAACAGTTGACATAAACTTATTTCTAGTTTTGCCGAGTCTTCTGTGTCCTTTGCAAAGATGAAGGTGAACTGGGAAGAATTAACACGCAGGTCTGGTCACACGTCTCATTACAATTAAACTTGTAGGAGGTGAAATCTATGCAAAACATTTGTGTGTTCACACTCTGTGGGTAAAATAAGTACTGAACACATCACCAATGTTCCTAAAGGTGCTGTGACATAAAATTCACACCAGATGTCAGGAACAACCCATCCAATCAAACCATAAATGATGTGTAATAATGACACGGGGAAAACATTGAACATGGTCACTGAACTGTATTTAATACATATACAAAAGCCTTTGTTGGTGATGACTGCTGGTACTTTTGGGTCAGCTGATTGGCTGGGCCATGCTTTACTTTCCTTCTGTGAAACCAGCTGAGCGGTTTGAGACGTCAGTTTCATCTTCATCATCCTGAAAAATGGCAGCAATTTTTATTGTCTCTGTAAATGTTTCCATCCTTCCTTCAGTTCTGTCAGGCGTTTCAGTGCAGGGAGCTGAACAGCCCCACCTCCTGATGCTCCCACCTCCTGATGCTCCCACCTCCTGATGCTCCCACCTCCAGGCTTCACTGCTGCTACAGTGTTTTTGGGGTGATATGCAGCGCCTTTCAAATGTGTGCAGTGCGGCATCCAAAGGGTTCAGTTTTGGTCTCATTTAATCAGACTATATCCTCCCAGTATTTCACAGGTGTGTCTAAATGTTGTTCAGCAAACTTTAAACAGTGAGCATTACTTGTTTTCTGCTGATTCCAGGTCTTCCTGTAGCTCTCCTCAGCTCCTCGACTACCTTTCTGATAATTCATCTCACTCTGGAAGCTTGCAGCACACTTTATTGTGGAATTTCCACTTCCAGATTATGGCCCAACAGTGCTCACAAGAACTGTCAGTAGTTTGGAAATTCTTCTGTAACCAATGCTGTCGAAATGTTTTGCAACAATAAGGTTGCGACGGTCGTTGCGAGCTCCGTCGTTTCACCCATCATCAGATGTTTCTTGTGTGACACGTTGGTAATGAGACATTTATAGGCCATCAGTTGGGACTGAACCAGCCTGACTCATTTCTGCTGGTGTCATGACTGTCCTGCCTTTTTGCACCTCCCTTTCTTCATGTGTTCAATACTTTTTACCCCGTTTCATTTCTGTAGTTAATTTCTTTGCATGTGTGGATTGGATGTGTTGTTACTGGTGACGTGTCAACAGCACCTATAAATATATTTACTTATAAAACTGATGTGTTCAACACACATCTGACACAACTTTCATCAGCATGAGAAGACTCATTCTTGATGTTGGTCTAACTTTGCACAAACACTGTTAATAGTTCATGTGGAATCTTAACCCTGGTTACAGATGCAATAGATCCAGATCCATGTTGTACGAAACTGGATGTAGTGTTGTTACACTTTACTGTAGTGATTCAGACAAATCAAATTCCTTTGGATTTATTTCTCCAGTAGTTAAGTCACTTAGTAGTTCAAAAACAGAATATCTAAAACACAAACTTGCTGAGAGCGGGCGGTAAAATCACATGATGTAAAAACTTTAAACACAGAGGGCAGAAATCACACGTTCTGTGATATCAACAGACAGTACTGCCTTGATTACACTCTGTTACAGACACGGTCATAGACAGCTGGAGATGTGATGGTTATGTGCAGAACGGCAGCAACTAACACGGTTTACTTCACATGAGGGAAGCGAGGGCTTTAAAGCAGCAATGTGATCTAAGGCCAAACAACCGTGTTCATGCAGGTCTGAAATAATATGTGAAACTGGTTTAGCATTTTAGAAACTCCTCAGCTTTTCTGTAGCAAGAGATCTGAAGGAACTCGATCACACAGCATGGTGGCAGTACTACGGCTCCTGCAGTCAGGACTGCTTTGTGTAGAATCGGGGGAAAATACATTTTGTTAACCCGAGTAGATCTTTCTCAATCCTTACTAGTCCTCAAATGAATATCTCCTCCAAGTCTTACAATTTATGGCTTGAGCTTGAGCCAGGGGTGAACCATGGTGAGGATGGACAGGACGGACGAGGCCAGGCCACAAGCCCCGACAAAGCCTGGACCTGTAGGGTAAATCCCCAACCGGTCCAGTGGGATGAAGACATCACAACTGTTCTTCACCAGGTCCAACAGCAGTGGCGGGTTGCTGTACAGCACAGTCCCCACCAGATGAAGCTGTCTGTAGAGCCAGCCAAAACCCATGGCTTGTGTGGCAGGTGAGGAGGAAGAGGGAAGGTGGTCAGGTGGCAGAGGAATGCTGGGGGAGGAAGGCTGTTTGCTGGTTGTGGAACGTGCTTCGCGCTCCATGAGGAGATGGAGCTCGTAGGCATCTCGGGTCAGGTTCAGGATCAAAGCAAAGAGGTAGTACCTGCAGGTTTAACCACACAGTTTAACTCAATTTTAAATTTCAGTTACCTGAAATCAATCAGTAGAAGATAACTGTGATTCCTTTGTGACCCTGATATGAAGATGACTGCAACCACACTTCAAATCAGGCTTTGAGTGCATGTGATGCAAACTCAAAGCCCTGTGGGTAACTGCTGGAAGTGGACACAGGTGAGTTAAATACCATGACTTAATTTCCCACACAAAGGCATCACACCAGCTCTGGTTTAAAGCTCCGCATGTCCTCTGAAACAGGCTCGTTACCACTAGCGGTAAACAGACTTGAACCTTTTTATTATGAGCGCTTAAAGTACTTTCAAATTAAAAGCCTCAGTGACACTTTCACAGAGGAATGTCTGGTGTATTCTTACACACTCGAGTGCCATGTTAGACATGTGGACTGAAGGAGCTGCAAACTGAAACCTGAGTCTAACAACAAGTTACTCCGCCTTCATAATTGGAAGCACTCGATTAACTGGATTAAGCCCACTGCTTCTCATTAACAGGTTCATCCTGCGTTACTTTGTATCTGTTGTCTGCTTACATGACAGGTTGTCAGGTCACTATGTTGCGGCTGTAGGGTTGTGCAGTCACTCTGTCCAATGGCTTGACTTACTCTGTAACCTCGGTGAGGCTGCCATAACTGCACACTTCACCACACAGTTCTGATTAGTGTCTCTTGAAAAAGGTTTTCCAGAAAGCTGAACAGGGACAGCTGTAAGGAGGCTCACTGGGGAGGCAGCTCAGTTCAGCTGTACTTATACAGCGCCCAATCACACCAACAGTTGCCCCAGTGTGCTTTATAGTGTAAAGACCCTATAATAATACAACATAATGTTGCTAATGAACGACATGGAGGATTTTTAGGCCCTCAATGCGATCAGTTAGAATTCAGTAGATGTAGATATAGTTTGATCTGTGGAGCAACATGACACTGTTTACACAACCAGTCCTGCATGTACTTCTTCCTCACACACCTGAAAGATCTCTGACTCCACTTGTGCTGGTCGAGTTTGGAGATGAGACCGGTTTTTCCCGCCCACAGCACATTGTCGCAGGCAAAGTACATGGCTCTGTTAAGGTGACTGATGGTCAGGCACAGCCGCAGCACGCTGTCAGAGAGGTGTATGGCCCTTTTGGCGGCCTCCAGGGCCTCCACGGAGTTGCCCAGGCGTAGCACTGTGGAAGAACCAACACCAGTCCCACTTAAGCTTTGGTACGTGGAAACGACTCAGACTCGCTCTGGCTGTTTTACTCACACTTTCTTGTCAGACTCATGTGTGCCTCCAGCTGACTGACAGTTCTGCGGATCTCAGCTGCTTCGTCATTTTGCAGAGTGGATCCGAGCAGCGCGCAAGCATACTGTGCAGCCCTGTGAACGCACAACGCACAGTCATTATCAACAGACACACACGTCACCAGGACGGAAAGCAGTGCGCTTAACAAACTCAACTACTCTGTGCAGCTGGCATCATAAGGCCGCTTCATTTGAAACCAGCGCAGGAAGAGCTGCTCCTACTGAGCAGATAAAAGTTCCGCTTCAAACACGGAACTCAGTCTGCAACATCCAGCCGACGGTTTTATCACATTAGCAGAAATGAACAAGCTCGACGAACCCCGCGTCTCAACCAGCAACGTGCCAAACGTCAGTAACGTCACCTGAAAACTCTCTCCTTGGCTTGGCTCTGGGCATTAAAGCGAACCCAAGAGTCCATGTTGGCTCGCGGCTCGTATCCGCTGCTCGGCTAGCTGTCAAACTGCTAACTTAGCTTTAAATGCTTTAGTGCGGTTGTTTGTTTTAATGCTAGAAGAGCTCCTCCGTTTTTAGCTCTGCTTTCTACGCTTAACTGTCCGAGTAGAAAACAAGAGGGTCAATCCAGCGCTTCTAATTCTTCTTCTTAGTGATGTGTCGGTGGCGAACGAAACGGCTCTTAGAGCCGATTCTTTGACATGAACGGCGCGAGCCGACTAATTATCGCGAGTCGTGTTTTTTTTTTTTTCTTTCTCTCACCCTCTCTCTCTCACTTTTTTCTGCTTTGCGCTGAGCAGAGGGGGAGGGCCGGTAGTTACACTCACAGTAGCACAGGAACAGAGCGGGAGGGAGAAAGAGAGCCAGGGACAACAATGTCACATTAGAAAGGTATACTAATCATCCACAACTATTTTCAGTTGTGGATGATAAAGGATTCAGAAAGTTTATTCATGCAGGCCCATATGACAGAGAATGTGCATCTTCTTTTTGTTTTCATATTTTAATTTATATTTAATTGTGTTGTGGTTTGCAGTGTTTTGTGTTGTTTCACTTTAAATTTGTTTAAAAGGAAAAAGCTGAAAATTTAAATAGTTAAAAGTTGAAATGTGAATAGTTGGTTTTTGTATTATATGATTTATTTATTATATTTTATGTGGAGTGAATAAATAAAAGTATATTTACGGTACCCTAGAGACAAAGCACGTACGAACTCCGAAGCACGTACAAATCCCGAAGCACATACAAACTCCAAAACACTAAAAACTCCAAAACATGTAGAAAACACAGCAGTGCTCCAGAATGCTAGTGTTGAGCTTTTGTTACCTAGTGGCTACACAAGCCAGCAAGTACCAACGACCGGATTTGGTGTGATCTAGGTAGCTCTGTTTTGGAAGTTCACTTAATGCCAGAAATGTGTTATGAAGTTTGTACGTGCTTTGGAATTTGTACATGCTTTTTGGAGTGCTTTGTCTCAAGGGGCCACCGCATATATTATTATATAAACATATATAAATAAAACAACTTTTTTGAAAAAAATAGTAATTCCTTTTGTACATAATTTTATATTATTATTAATAATACTAACTTAATTAAAGCAACAAAACAACCTGAAGAGCCGGTTCTTTTTAGTGAGTCGAGCCGAAAGAGCCAGTTCTCTAAAAAGAGCCGGAAATCCCATCACTACTTCTTCTTTGGTTGAACTGCTGCTCGGCAAAGCTGCTGACCCGCTGGCGCCCCCTGTGGACCGGAGTTTGAAACCGGCGCTGTAGACTCAGTAAACAAATACATACGAGCCTGTTTTCTTCGAAAAATAAGTGACCTTTCGGTAAACTTCATTTGTTTTATCTTCATGGATGTTTCCCACATTCCAGAAACACGTGCTGATTTTATTATTCTTATTCTTATTGTTGTTATTATTATTATTATCTTTTTTCTTTTCTTTTTTTTTACATGTTCTTATCTGTGCTTATCTTAGGGGCTTCCAACAGTGGCAGAGCAGTGGGTTATTATTTGTGTAGATAAAATAACAACGAAGCATATACTATACAAATGTAGCACAATTTAAAGACTATTGTACTGTGTTGCTACATATATGCAATAGATAAAAGACAAAGGTTACATAGAACAAATGTGTTTATATGTGAAAAAACAGAAATGTGTTCTACATTATTATTAGATAAATCTAAACTAGTTAATCTCATAAAAAACAGATTACAATAAATAAAGTCCACCAAAGTTTAATGTGCTCTTAAATTTAGATTAGCTTAAAGAAAGAAAGGATTATTTTGTAAAAAGAACACATTTTAATTAATTAATGATTTGTTTTTATTTTTAATAATTATTAATATATTAAAGACTGAGTTTTTTTCCTTTACCAAATATTTATATAGTGCATTTTTTTATAGCTGTGGTTCCTTTACAACAACTGGAGGAAGAACCTGCGACACAACCTGCGGCAAACAGAGGCCCAAAACGCTGCACAGAACAACAAGAATGACTTTACAGGTGAACTAACCAACAATCATCAGCAACTTTGACCAACATTTCCAAATGGAGTTTCCTGAACAAACAACACCCAGAAAAAGACAAAGAGATAAAATAGTTTGGGGTTTTTTTTGCTCAAATGAAACATTTTTACAAAAATACACTTTTATTACTTGCAGCTCATTAAAGTCTGTATCTGCAACATATTTTTTTTGTAGCAGACCCACAAACCCTTTGTTAATCCTCATGTTGTGTTCATTTCCTGGTTAAACAAGTTTGTGTTCCGGGTCAAAAAGACTCATCGTGTTTTGGAGAGAATGAAGCGACTCACTGAACCAGAGCAAGAAGAGCAGAGTCGCATAAATGATCATAACTACAGTTCACCCCCTGAACTGGACATGTGTGCATCATCTCCAGAAGACCTGTCCAAAGAGGTCGAGGATTTAAGGAAGCATAAACGGGGATTATGTTATCTGGCTCCGACCTCTGTCCACATCAGTTCAGTTATATAGCTTCTGATAAATATGTACCCAGTGTATTTTTCATGTTCATGCTTTGGTATTTAAGAAATATCTTAACGTTACAGATGAAATATAGAAACAAATATTTTAATCAGATTATCTGAATGTAGCCAAGCATCTGAGACACTTTTCCTCTGATCGTGCTGATCGTTTGTTCTTTGCACAAGGTAGTCTTCCTGTGCCCACACAAAGTCACGCCACTGCATGAGCAGTTGTCGTTGCACTGTCCAGGAGCATGAATTGCTCTTCTTTAGGAGTAAGGGAACCAGATTCTATCTATGCACATATTTGCAGTCATTAACATTTTGTACATTGTGGCATTTGAATCTGACAAAACCAAACTGGGGATATTCGTTGGGATCAAACCAACAGCACCAAGAAATGCAGGAAGTCAGGGGCAGTGGGGTGAGTGACTAGAATACCAGGTCAGTAGTTTAGAATAATTAGCCTGCTACACTCAGCTGCTGTTGCAGGCTCCATCTCAGCACCTCTCCTCAGGACCTCCAAAAAGTGACCTAAAGATTGCTTAAACATAAAAGATGAGTTGTTAAGGGCTAAGAATTAGCTGCTATGCTGGACAATCCAGTGGGCGGTCGACTCCCTTCACTATTACCTTCTGGGATGTCCATTCACCCTCTGCTCAGGTCTACTGCAGTGGCTCCGTTGTATGGAAGATGCCAGCACCCAGATTACCTGGTGGTATCTGCCTCTCCAGCCTTTTAACACTAAGCTGGTCCATAGGCCGGGAGCACAGATGGGAGGGGTAAGCTAGGCTGGATGGCTCCCTGGTTAGATTTCTGGGGGTGTGTGTGGTTTGAGGCTTGGCTACAGGGGAAGGGTGGGGCAGTGGATTCATGGGCTGGTGCTCGTTGTCTAATCATGCCTCCCTTATTTGAGTAGCACGCAGGGATCTGGAAGAAGAGAGATGGCATCGCAGCTGGCTGGACTAGGAAGTCTGAAAGACAGCGTGCGGATTTGGGTCATCGTGTAAATAAAGTGAAATATGCATCACAAGCACAAGCAGTCAGTCCTCATTGTGGCTTCTTCTTAAGGGAGCGGCAGGTCTTCAGTGACTGCAGGATCGTTGTCTTGCAACATGTACTCTCGCTTAGTCAGCAGCTCTAGTTTGTCCTCCTTAAATCCTTCTTACAATCCCACAGGAAGTGGCCTCGTCCTCACTAAAAGGACACATTTTCAGTTATACGGTTAGCTTAAGAACTGTACCCTCCAAGTACGTTTCCTGCCAAGAACTAACAAATATACGTGGTCATGAAATCAGAACTATCAGAGATATAGTATCCAACCCCCCAAAATAGCTCAAATAACGTTACATATTGAATCCAGTTTACGGTTGAAGCCTTTCGTCGTAATGAGCGAGGCCTGTTGCTACGGTTACTCTACAAACACACGGACAGAAAGGAAGTTCTCAGACACCCGTCCCTGTATATTTTACCCATCGCGTAACCCTATCACCACTAGATGGTGGTGGGTGAGTTATACTCCACGACGGGCCTTCTTTAACACAAGGTTCGTCAAAGCTTTAGAACTTTGGAAGAAAACATCGTGGATTATTTGAGGGGCAATGCATACGTTTGCAGTTTCCTAATTATTGTTTCCTGCAAAGAACTGTGTAGTTCAGCACTCAGTGCGCAAACGGACGCAACACTGAGCTGGTTCATTAAGTGACTTTTGTCTACATGTGAGCAAAGTCATGTTTCTAATAAACCACAATGATGACTGGTCGCCATGGGTGAAATAAAATCCAGAAAGCCTAGAAATATCTTTTTATTTTTAATCGATACCAACTGTAAATCCTGCAGCTCACATGGAAAAGTACAAGTACATGTTTAATAGTGATGAATAAAGAGACAATAGCAATCTACAGGTGCTTTGGTAGACACATCATGAAAGTGACTGGTTGTAGAAAGATCTGGATAACATGATAAAAATGCGATGGTTTGCACAACCCTGTGTGAACAGAGGAAAACCAGCGTGTATCACATGCTTATATCGTTCTTGCTAAAATGAAGTAGTGCTAAGCGTACTCTGAAATATTTTACTCACCAAAGACTAAGGCAATAAATAACTACTCAGGTACAAAGAGTCATCTGTCTGTTCTCTCGCACACCGTCTTCACATCGCTGAAACCTGAGGGAGCCACAGAATATCGCAGAAGGATTCGAACAGCTGAAAAACCAACTCACAATGTGCAACATCGATCTTTATAGTGTTTTCTTATATCCAGTGTCGGTGCATCTACTGTTACAACAAAAGGCACACATCACAAATATTCATATGTTAATGGCTGATCACTGTAAAGCAGCTGAACCAGGCAGATTCCACAGTGTCCAAGCATCTCTACACAGACTGGTTGGTACATGTATTCACATTTAGATCAACACACAACATTCCCGTATAATATAGTTCAGTTTTCTCCAGAATTCTTTTTGTCAAGTCACAAGAAAGCAGATTTATCTCTACATGGTACAAACGCGCCTTTGTATGTGAGGCTGTGTTGTGTGCAGTGTATTTGAACTCTGTGGCAGATCCAGCTACACTCGTACAGACAGTACACGTGGGGAGCTGACTTTGCCTTTAAACGACACATCTGTGTGGTTTCAAGACTCTTTATGTAACACGTGTTTTGGAGGACAGAAAACAAAGGCACAGGGTGTATTTGGGTGTGTGCTGTACTGTTGGGGTGCTCGAGTCATGTTGATGTGAGAGTCAGACACTCCTCACCGAGGTGACGTTTCCCATACATTTAAGGGAAATCAGGGAAAAATCCATCACACCTCCACCTGCATGAAATGCAGTCATGTTGAAGATTACAAGAGAAATGATGCATCAGGGTTTTACACGAGACAGCCAATGTCCAGATGTGCCCATTATATTATTATTATTATATCTCTTTGATAGTTAACTACAAGCTGAGCTCAATTATTTCATTTAAATATTCAATCTTCTGATTGATGAGATCTTTACACTTTATGGCTCAGGAGGTCGAGCAGATTGTCTACGGGTCGGGTCAGTGCTTCAGGTTTATCTACGAGCCAAAGTGTCCTCGGCGAGACATTTAACCCCAAACTGCTCCGACGGATCCACTGGTGTGATAAAGTGCGATAATAATATATGTGTAAATGGGCGAATGCAGCCTGTAGTCACGGCTTCGACTACGACCCAGACTGGGCAGGATGATTGAAATCAGCTTCCCAACCAGAACTCGTGCACACAACCAGTCAGAGTTCAAGTAAACTGCTGCGGTCACTCAGAGGACAGAAAGGCACTGGTGTCAAATGTACAGACTGGTGCTAGATGCTGAGTCTGACCATGCAAACACTGTCTGGGTTTCTGTCTCTGCGTGTGAGAAGTTAGTTGCTGTCTTATGAGTTCACTCTGCTGTGAAACTAAATGTTGGCGTCAGGATCTGATCGGCCGACCTGTTAGTTTTGGTACCGAGTCACAGACTGACTTCAGCCTGACGCTGTGACTCTGCACTGTACTTATGAGGTAATCTGGCTTTCATGAGTTATATCAACCATTTGGTTACATACAGAGTAGCACTGTTTCATTACAAAGTACAACAACACGGCGTTAAAGCTAAATGTTTTGGGCTTTTTTGTCTTTTGGTACAAAAATAATATAGTAATAATATAAACCAACGTAGAGTGAAGAGCAGAGTACAAGTACGCAGATGGAATAACACCAGTCTCCTTAATCCATACCTCTACATCAGCTCTGACGTCAATGACACGTAAAGAGAAGTGTAATGTGCTCAGCGTAGATTCACTGACAGCATTTTCCAGAGGTATGCAGTTTCCTGTCTGAGGTGCTTTTGACTCCAGACTGGATTTTTAAACATCTGTTTATATTCCATGAGTGAATGTGCAGAACACTCCTGCAAGAAGAAATCCAACTTGCATATCGGAGAATTGAATATCTGAAACAAATCCCTGGATTTCTCTACTGGTGGGTTCAAATGTCGCCTGCCTTGACTTTAGATTCTTAGGACTAAAGCATTAGGAAAATCCCAAAGACATCAGCATATATGTGTCTGGACAGACCTTTTGGTTACAGTGTGTATGTGCGTTTCAAAAAGCATGAGTGATTGCTACAAGCATGATTGGTTGTTGATGGTTTCTGACTGACTTGCTGGAGAAATCCTTTTGAAGAAGAAACAAAGAAGCAACCATGTGTGTCTGGTGTGTGCACATTCAAAGACTCCAGACTGCTGGGGGTTCTCAGTTCGCAGGCCCTGGGTCAGTCAGTGGCATAGTGTGCAACACCTCATCCAGAAGCTGCAGGGCACGGTGCAGGTGGACCTCCACCCAGCAGGGAGTGTGTTTGATGCTCTGACGGGGGTAGTCTGGCCCCCAGCCTTTCACGAAGCTGAGCCGCAAAATACAGAGTCGCCTCAGGTCATCGACGCCAATGCCTGCTGCTGCAGAGAGACCTGCCAGTGAACAGGGAGGGGGAGGGGTTAATATCAGAGACCATATAAGGACATTTCCACCTGCTGTTGGTCGGTGTTTGGCTGTACTCAGTCACTGGGAATGGAATTAGTAGATTCTTAGTATATTTAAAAGTTGTTGTTTTTTCCCATCATGAGGGTTTCTACCTTTAACTCCACTGTGAGTGTCGTGCGTGTCTCAGCACTTACTAACTGCAGGTGCAATCCCTCCGACGCTGCCTGGACCAGGAATGTTTCCTGAGACAGCAGCTGCCTGTGCAGCAGCTGCAGCTTGAGCCGTGGCTGCCTGCTGCTGCATCTGTCTGTGGCACTGCCGTAGGTCGAATACCTGACCGAGACACAACTGGTGTACACTGTAACAGCAAACCACCTGAGGCATGAAACTCATGAATACTGCTTTACTTTCCGCCCATTGCCCCCAACCAGTCACAGCAGATGCCCGCCCCTCCCTGAGTCTGGCTGGTTACTTCCTGTGAAAAGGGAGTTTTTCTTTCCCACTGTCACCAAGTGCATGCTCAGTGGGTGTCATTGATTGTTGCCATTTTCCTTGTTTTATTGTAGGGTCTTAAAAAAGCTCCTTGGTAATAAATATATGTGATATATGCAGTTTATTACTGAGCATTTTAAGTGTTTGGTACAGTGTTCTTGTGCCCAGTGCCGCCTATAAACCCAGTGCTGCTCACAGGTGTTCACAGTTTTAAAAACATATGAATGATGCGAGTGAGCTGGATTTATACCTTGATGTAGGCTCCAGGGTAGATCTTGTGCACAGCATCACCTGGTGCCCGGCCCGCTTCCCGATCGAGGTAGTAGCTCTGTACAAACACAGCATGGTCGCTCATACAGCGCATCCACACATCCCCCTCACCACGACACTCCAGCTGCACACCTTTGCCTATGTGTAGCCTGGAACACAGGGAAACAGGTCAGGAAGCCAGCATGTAGCTCTGCTTTGGGACAGTGTGCAGGGAAATGATGCAATGAAAATAAAACCTTTTGTGCTTATTTTGAAAAATATCTTAGTGTCATTGTTATCACCAAATACTACCATGAGAAAACATTTTTATCTGCTTATTCAACCAGTGTTGGCTGAAGCCGACGCCAGATCACTACGGGCGGTTAACTACCCATCAGAGGCCAATTTTCAAAAGTGTGGATCTGTGGAAGCAGCCCCCCAAAACAGGAAGTCAGGGTCAGCTTCTGTTTAAAAGTCCGAATCCTACGGTTACTGTGCAGAGTTCAGGTGGAGCCAATGGCCGAGGGGACTCGCCCGCTCCTACATCCCTCTGCTTCCCTCATTTAAGAAAACCTGGCATCTTACAGACATCCCTGTAGCTTCCCTCTAAATCGGTGCACTTGGTAACAAACTGGGTTAAATTTAGTAGTCTGGAAAACTCCGTCCCAAGGACTGGTCGCAGCAGATGGCCCCGCCCCTCCCTGAGCCTGGTTCTGGAGGTTTCTTCCTGTTAAAAGGGAGTTTTTCCTTCCCGCTGTTGCTAAAGCACGTGTTCATGTAGGGTCATGTGATTGTTGGCGTTTTCTCTGGTTTTTCTGTATTACTGTAAGGTCTTACAATAGAAAGTGCCACAAGGCAACTGATGTTGTGATTTTCTTCATTTCTGTGATAAATAAATTCATGTTAAAAAAATATTTCACATTTTTTAAATTTTGCACAGCGGTTAGCACTGTCGCCGCACAGCAACAAGGTCCTGAGTTCAATTCCAGCATCAGGCCGGGGTCCTTCTGTGTGGAGTCTGCTCCCAGTGTTTGTGTGGGTTCTCTGCGGGTACTCCGGCTTCGTCCCACAGTCCAAAGACATGCAGTTAGCTGGGTTAGGTTGGAAATGGTTGTCTGTCTCTCTGTGTAAGCCCTGTGACACACGGGCGACCTGTCCAGGATGTAACCTGCCTCTCGCCCTATGATAGCTGGGATAGGCTCCACCCCCCCCTTGACCCTGACACGGGTAAGCGGATTATTTTGCAGTGAAATCCAACCACATGTAATCCAGAAATTGTCACTTTTGGAATTTGAACTTCTTTTTTAATGTGTACTCAAATGTGGAACTGCTTGAATTTTAATATACAGACATTTTTAATGCATCTGTCCCAAATATCCAAGAATTATCCATATCCTGATTAATTGTGGATATTGAATGTAAAGTTCACCTGTGATGTTTACGAGCTATCATAAAGCCTCACTAATCAGTGCTGTATCGTACAGTCTCACTTTGGGAGAGGAATTATTGTAGGGTCGACCGTACAATACAAAGCGCCTTGAGGCGACTGTTGCTGTGATTTGTATAAATAAAACTGAAGGGTGATGTTCTTTGCTGAGTATTCGAAAAGTCATTGCACAGTTTGTGTGTCTGCGTCAACACACCTGGCTCTCTCACTTGCATCTGTGCGATGGACATTACTCAGCTGGCCGAGGCAGAAGCGATCACCTCCTGACGGGTCAACATAACCATCCACAGTCACTACCGGGCAGCTGGAAGGCACCTTGAACATCTCCCCCACCTGAACATCCATTTCAAAGTAGGAGACAGAGCACCAAAACTCTGGTCCTGTAATACGAGAGAAACATGTTTACAACAAAATCAAGAAAACAGACGATCTGTTTGTGAAGTGCACGACTCAAAAATGATTTGGACAAATAAGAAGTGGAGATGTGTTAATAGACATTTAATATGCGTGAAAATCAGCCATATGTAAGTAAAACACATCATCAGCTTCTGTTACTCTGTGAGAAAATCTAAAGACAGATATTCAACGTACAAGCCCACAGCCCTGAGAGCTCCGAAACTATATTGTGACAATATGAGGTAGAGCGGACTGGTCCACACTGACAGATGGCTGGATCAGAATCTAGAATTTCTATGACGTCCATGTAGTTCAGTAATTAGGAAAAAGCCTTATTTTTGTGTTAAAATTTCATTTGGACAAAGTAAGTGACTGTGGGGGTGCGACTGGCTCAGCTGCAGGGGAGGGGCGGCTCAGTGAGGCAGGGGGGGGCACAGGCGGTGCATTTGGACTAATCACAGTCGAGAGACCAGCTCTGAGCAGAGACTGAAAGTTGAACTGGGAGCACAAACAGTGTGTGTGTGTGTGTG